GGGGGGGGTTAAAATTGAAAAAAAGTACTGGTAGGAACTTCAAAACAAAAAAAAGAAAGAAACATATAGTTAGACAAAGAAAGAAAGAGCAAGTAAGAATTAAATAATGAGAGAGGAAAAGAAAGAAAGAAAGGATTTTTAAAGAAAGAAAGAAAGAATGAATGAATGAGAAAGAAAAAATGAAAAAGAAAAGAAAGAAAGAAAAAAATGAAGAAAGAAAAGAATGAAGAAAGAAAGAAAGAAAGAATGAGAAAAAAAGAGAGAGAGACACAACAAGAGAGAAAGAAAGAAAGAAAGACAAAAAGACAAAAAGAAAGAAAAAAAAAGAAGGAAAGAAAGAAAGAATGAGAAAGAGTAAGAGAGGAGAAGTTAGTGCTGCCTTCACCTGCCAGGGGAACTCCCCCCTCTGAGCCAGCTGTCCACCCACAATCCTGTGTGACGTCACCGGAGAGCTCACCGGAAATGTCAGACCACACTGACCTGTCAAAATAGCAGCAGATGGCTTAGTTTTAGCAGAGACAATCTCCGGTTTTTGTGAGAGTTTTTTACGACACCTGCAATACAATTAGTTGGTTTTTAAGGACAAGCGGGGTGGGCTTATAACCCAGATTTCGGGAGTTTCCAGAAATCTTGACCTACCGTACACCAAAAGTGGGCATTGCCCTACTTATGGGAGAAGTTTGGTCTCTTTGGTGTGTATACTATACACTGTATAGCTTGGTTTTATAGAGAAAACTCTCCTTGTCTTTTCCTGACGAAACTGAACAAGGGGCAAAAACTTTACCTTCAATTTTCTCAAAACAGATTTTTTTCGGGAGAGTCCACTTGTGATTAAAAGCGACCAATTAGGTCATATAAGTTCAGAAGATTGGAAAAAATGTGAGGCAGGGTGGTGGAATCAGGCGGTCGTCAAAATAATCTAAGAGAAGAAGCTTGCATTTTTCCCCAGGTTTGTGAATTTTTATCAAATTTTTGTTTTTTGGCTCAACACCTTTCATGCCCATTGAAAAACTTATTTCTGCGTGGGTTTTTCTTAAAAATGTTGATTAAAGGCACAAAAAATGTAAATTTTCAGTTACCGCGGACTCTAAAGTTAAAGAAATAACTAATCTTTGGCTGCCATTTTCTCACGAATTTTATCTCTGAAAACAGATGACCCCCATTTCCTTCATTCGTAAATATCTCGACTTGTATTCAAGATAAATGGATATTTTTGTCATCCAAATAAAGACAAGAGAACAAGCTTTAAGATGATACCAATAACTCTACATGCCCAAAAATTGACGAGAGCCTGATTCCACCACGCTGCCTCACAAACGGTACAGGTTTAACACTCCTATCAACACCATTAGTGCTAGGTTATTTAAGAGGCAGGACCTCCGAGTTAAACGTCCATCTTTCTCCGAAAGGACCGAGCCAAATGGGAGATTCTTGTAAGGAGCCTTTACCAAGGACACAACGTCGGACCGAGCTGAGACTTGAACCCCCGAACCCGCAACCTCACGATTATGAGTCCGGTAGCCTAACTACTAGGCCACCAACGCCACTAAAAATAGCAGATGTTTTAGTTTTAGTAAGAATTTTACAGAACTTGCAACACAATGTGGTGTTCTTACACAGGCGGATGTCTAACACAAAAATTATTATTATGATGTATACACACAAACATACACACATATATACACACACACACACACATACACACACACACACACACACACACACACTCACACACAAACACAGATACACA